TGGCCACATTTTCAAAATGATCATCCAAGATGACAGTGTCGCGTACCTCAGGATCGTTTATACCGGCGACTGCAACTACGTGTCCTTTATCTTTCAGGCATTGCAACACAAGACGTTTCTTACTTGGGATGCTCCTGCCACGACGCAGATTTTGTCGATTATCTGCTTCCTCTGCTCTGGTGTATATTTCCTGATGAATTCGCCGGTTTCCATGACAGAACTACTTTCCTTTTCCTCAGCCGGTTGGAGAATCCCACACTTACTAGCTATAGCTTTTGCAGTGAAGACATTGTCACCGGTGATCAATTTGATGTTCACGCCGGTTTTCTGTTTGCAATCTTCCACGGCTCGCCTCACCCAATCCTGGCATCGGTCCTCAATGCCCAATAATGCTAACAGGATCAAGTTTTCTTTTTCAAGCCTTTTCCTCTCTTTGAAATCTTCCTCAGCCGCTTCTTCAATAACTTGTTTGTGGGCCAAAGCAATGCACCGGAGACCTCCCTTCGCCATTCCCTGAATAATTTTCTTGAATTTCATCCTTTCTTCACGGTTAAGATATTTCTCATTTCCAGAGACATCATAATATCTTGAGCACATTGCTAGAATCGTATCTGCTTCTCCTTTCCAATGAACATGAATTGTGTTATCTTTTTTCTTCTTGACCAGAACACCACTGCGTTTCTTCTTGGAATTGAAAGCCTCTGTAAATAAAATCGTGAAATTCTGCTTCAATAACTTCATCTCCATCACCGGGGAAGCCCAAGAAAGAATTGCCTTTTCAGTTGGACTGCCTGAGAATTCGAATTCGGCTCCTAAAGAACTTCTATAAACACCACCGGTAGTGTTTAGAGCAACTCCTTGATGGATCAAGCCAGAAATCAAAGAAGAAGTAGAAGTATCAACTTTATGTATGGATTCATGTCCAATCCAAGACTCCTCCACCTTCATCTGGTTAAGCGTAAGAGTAGCGGTTTTGTTGGTGACAATGACGCTGACAGAGCCCGCAGTATCGAAAGCAGAGGCCACAACCTTCATTTTCTCCATGGCTTTTGCTAGAGTGAGCTTAACAATCAAGGGTAAGCTTTCGGGGACCACAACACTGACAATAATAGCCGCAGCAGCAACAATACCCTTCACAGCATTCACTACATTTTGTGCTTTTGTCTTGTTGCTGTCTTCTGTGTTTTTATTCTCGTCGATTGCATTGTTGGTGAAGTTATTGACAACAACAAGTAGTATAAGAATGATGTCACTAATCTTACGCACGGACCGCGCTAGCTTCTTCACTTTGATTTGCAGAGGTGTGTGGTCGTTCTCAACAGATTTTTTGCTCATCATTTGCTTCCAGGTGGTGTTCATTCCAACGGAAGTGACGAGCATCCGAGCATCCGCATTGGCCACCTTAGTACCAGATAACATGAATGGATTTTGCCTTAAATTCTCCTCATCATGATCATCCTTCCCTGTCATGCTTGATTCCACTACCTGCAGAGAATTTCCAGGAACAAACAACCCATCTGCTGGAACTTTGTCACCGATCTTCAGGCAAACAATATCCCCAACGACTAAATAAAAAATTTGAACCTTTTTCCGTTGACCGCCTCTAATGACATCAATTTCAATATTGTTGCTGATTGGAGACATTTCCTCGAACTGCCTGGTCTCCCTGTAGTTGCTGATGGCAGAGATGGCGCTGACTAAAAAAGCGGCAACGAATATGCTTCCACCCTCAATCCACCCTTCTCTCAGGCCATGCCCCTTGATGCCGAACCCAAGGGAAAGTGCTGCGCAGGCGAGGAGGATCAAAACAGTGGGATCTTTGAAAGCCTCCACAACAAAAGGGTAGAAACTCAGCTTATTGTATGTGTTGAAGCCAAATGCTATCTGTCGCCGAGTAAGATCGTCATCATTGCCATTGATTCCATCGTCCGGGCTGGTTTCCAGAGAAGAAGCTACTCCGTTGATGCCGCCATGTTTTTGAAGCTCTCCTAGATTTTTCTCCTTGACAAGTCCGCTGAGAGTGGTCTTGTCAATTTTGAAAAATGCACTTTCCTCCGCTGGAATTGTGATTGCAACTTGAGAAGGAACTTTTTGAAGCTCTATCAGATTTTTCTCCCTGAGAGGGTCAGTGAGAGTGGTCTCAACAATTCTGAGGCGATTGTTTTCCGAGGGAATTGTGAGAGTGACATGAGAAGGAATGGGCGGAACCTTGTTCCTGGCGATAGATAACAGAGTTCTTGTGCAATAGAGGGTAGACAAAGCAACATGCCAGGTTTTTTTACGTGTCTTGAGGGAGACAGGGGCATCAAGCAAAGGCTCAGTGCAGATTTTGGGTGCTTTGTTGTGAGTAGAAGACATGGAATCAGATCTGCAAGAATAAATTGATGAAAAAAGAAGGAAGAAAATCCTTTTGTGAAACAAGAGCAAGAA